CCCAGGCACCACTTTGCCAAAGCCAGGCACCTCATTGTTAAACATTTAAGTTGGCATTAATATCATAATCAGAGGTCTGTTTATCCTCAGGCAGACAGCAGGCAGTTAAGGACCAGCTCAACCCCCCTTCCTCCATGCCCCCTTCCTTTGCTCATGCCACCCTCCATCCTTCCCTTTTGTTCAGCTATTCCCACCTCTATCCAGGACCACTTTACATTCCCAACATATTCCACCATCATGGCCTATCATCACCAGCACAGACTTGACCCGATCATACATCAGTATTGTAGTCATGTGAACACTTATCCACAGGAGTCAGAATTACAAACGGATGTCATTCCACATGCTGTAGCAATGTGGGAATAATAGCTAATGACAAGTACTGTATATTAACAGTTTATGTTTTATCTCCAATCGCATGTTTGGGAAGCTGCAGACACGGTTTAACAGCTCATAAATCATCATACCTCATTCAGCTTTATGACTTTTCCTAATTTTATGACCGCAGCTTGTAACTATGATGTGTCATTAGATGACTGCTGTTTAAAGATTATACAATTAATTATAGATACATTCAGAACCATGATTTGATACAATAATATTATGTGACTCCAAGATTGGTTTTGAGGCCATACCTGACTCAGTATAAGTTTGGAGCTTCCCAAAAGAAACGAAGGCGATACCAAAAAAATATGAGGTTTAGTAACCTTGTGTATTTGGTTTGGGATTTTGCCACAGCCTTTTTGACATGTAGGAAATTAAGCCTACATACTAAGATTTTCCAAATGGAATCTGTTTTTACAAGGCATAAACCATGAGGATGTATGTCTTTCCAATTCGATTCAATAGCTTCGGGCTGCTGCACTGCAGCTTTTTACTCCAGTGTAGTGTTTTTCTTTTTCTGTTGTGAGCCATGGAGTGATATAGCTTCATTAGGATATAATAAGGCAACAACAGCTGGCCACACACATGGAGTTTTCCAACTGACCGTTGATAAGACAATCTACTGATAACTTCGCAAGTAAACAGTAACCCCGGCCTCTCTTTCTCTTCCACTCTGTCTGTCTCTTTCTGTACTTTCTCTCAGGCCTTATCTGGTGTTGAATGTTTTTCTCTTAAACTCACACTCTGCTAACATGCCCATCACCCATTGCCAAATAGGCCTGCTGTTACAAAACACACTCCGTTTCATGCCAAGGTGCCGGCTCTGGCAACACATCTCAGCCACTTGTCCATGTCAAAGTGTGTGTGTGTGTGTGTTTTTGTGTGTGTGTGTGTGTGTGTATGAGAGAGAAGGAAAAAGAAGGAGAGAGATTAAAAGTGTGAAGAATAAAAGATTCAGAGTCAGAGACATAGATGTGTATCTGTGTATTTGTCTGTTTTCCACAGTTTTTTACCACTGATTATTCAGGAATGCCAATTTCCCACAAGCTCGTTTTACTTAAGCCGCTAGTCATTCCATTCTCATTCTTGACCTTTGACCTCTGAATTTTCGTCCCAGGGGGACAAATTGAAATTCCAGTTTTTGTTTTTTTTTCTTGTTGTGCTGCAAAACAAAAATGTCTGCCAAAACTTTCCTGCCAAACAAACAAGCTGATGATCTCATACTGTGGATCTACATACGTACATGTGGTGTGTAATGTTTGTTCATGTGTATATGTGTGTGTGTGTGTGTGTGTGTGTGTGTGTGTCAGGGCTGAAGGTAGAATTTAATCTCTGATACTGTTATCAGTTCCATGGTGCTGGAGAACTGCTTAGAAGACCCACTGCAGCTCTGACCTACTTGTGTCAGTGTACGGAGCTGTATGTTTTCCATTGAGTATGTGTGTGTGTGTGTGTGTGTGTGTGTGTGTATGTGTGTGTGCATGTATGTGTGTGTTTGTGAGCACGTTTGTTAGTGTGTTTGAGGCGAACTCTCTGTGGACGTGAGGAGTGTGAGAAGCTGGGTGTTTTGACAGCTTTAGAACAGTTCCAGTACAGTGTTGGGGCAGGGGGTGTCCGGGCCTGTTGGATATTCAGGCGAGCTGCAGGGGTGAGAATAGGGTCAGTGCAGGAGTGGACAGGAGGGGATGAGATTAGGGGAAGAGTTTCATTCCAAAATCCTCCATGGCCATCAAAATGATACTTGATATCCATTGCTTAACATTAAATAAACTCATGATGTCATATGAAATCAGTCCATCTGAGCCCAACTTCACTTGCACCATTATATAAACAAGTAAAGGATTTGACTGAAACACCGACAATTATTTTGTAAGAACGAGTGTCACATTTACAAAATTGATTTGCTTATTGCAAAATGAAGCCTTTCCTGAATGTGTGATGAAATATGAGATGAAGACATTTTCATCTTAAGTAGGGCTGTCATGATATCAGATTTTCCTTTCATCATCATCATGGCCAAAAAATTCACAATGACGATATTATCACAAAATTTGAAAATTACTGTACAGAAGCCTACAAGAAAAGCTACACTTAGAATTACACTTAATTGATAGTGAAAAGATAACGGCACAGCATGGTTATTGTCAATACTGTAAATCGTGACACCTGTAACATGAAGAGAAATCTTCAAATATATTCTTAAATGTGTTCCTACCTGAAACCAAATAAAACTGAATAAATGAATACTTGACCACTAAGTTGTACTAGAGAAATACTGATTTTTACTGAACTTGAAGAAAATGTTGATCGTTGGAAATGAACATTGGATGGCACTGAATGTACAGCAGACTAAACTGAGTATTTGTCCAACCGGCAGGACACTCCTTATTGAAGTAGTCATGCCAAAGAATGATCTCAGCTCATTCTACCAACTTTAATCTCACCAAAGTGTAAAAGCAATGGGAGTAGGCTTCCCACACAGTTAATAAAAGAGCGATAAAGCTCATAAACAAAGCCTCACAGTCTTTTTTTTGTTCTACTGTAGCTGAAAAGGCCAGACATCACCTCAGCCTGTGCTTCTTGAGAGTTCTCTCACAAGTACACCTCTCCAACAAAGGGGCTGCCTCTCCACATTTCTAAGCCCCTCTCAGTGCCAGTGCTGTTGAGAAACCCCTGCTTTCTTCAGCAGCATTCCAGCCTATCTTTCATGCTGTTTCATTCTGGCCATGCCAGCCAGGTCAGGGGGCAGCGTTTTCTCAGGGTTTCAAGACAACATGGGACACATAGATATAAGGCAGACATCGCCGCTAGTTGCACATGGATCTCTTGTTCACCTCATTCTGGTGCTGTTGTTGTTTCATTGCATGTGTGCTTTTGCATATTGTGTGCAAAAACGTACATGACAACACACATCTTCTATGTCTGCAGGGATGCAGGACTGAGAAGCACAAAGGTCAAGTAATAGATTTATGGTTTTTGAATACTTTCATTAAACTCCTGTCTAATTTAAACTCTTTCACCCTAGTCTCTAGTTTGACAGCCACTGCTGATCTAGGCTAGGATCTGTCACAAAGATGTAAGTTATTTATTGATATTGTCACAGAGAGAGTTTATACCTTCTTTGTTTCAGAGACATCAGTACCGAGTCCTACCAGTAGATGTCTGCCTTCAGTCTTCCACAGTCATTAAAGTTTGTAGATCAGACTGTCCAGGGTTCCCATATGACCAAACACTGCAAAATGTCCCAAATGAAATCTTAGATAAAATTTAATCTAATACAAATTCCACTTTCACTTCTTCTCTGGAACTGCAGGTATGGCCATGGTCATAATGAAAGACAGATGGAGAAAAAAAGATTGTCTTAAAACATGTCTGGGCAAAGTCTTCAGTTTAACATTAAATCTACAAAGCAATTTAAGTTGAAATTAAAAATAGCTTTGCTGGCAGAATAGTGAGGCATTTTTGCCTCTTGGCGACATGGCGGCATTTTTCATCTCTGGTACAGCTTAACATTCCCTGGAATGAATTCCCAGACACTGAGATCTTGGAAAAATGAGGGAAAAATGTTGGGTATTTTCCACAGCAACCCTGAAATACATTTTTTTCCCCCTTGGCTCCTGCATTGACTTGTAGCAATACACGAGTGTTGCTATGTGGTAGTTAGTTGCTATGCCTAAACACCCAGAATAACCATAGAAGAAAAATGCTTTCCATCGCCTATGAGTATTAACTACACTATTGCATAATTTATGTGTTTTTTAGTTTCCATAGGGAATGAAAATAAGATAAAATCAGATGGATCATTATAATTTTGCACATTTGCTAATAGATATTAATTCATTTGATAAATATTTGTCACGTTATTTCTTATTTATTGTCTCTCAGTAATAATAAGCTGATGAGAGAGTCTACAACCAGTACAGTGGTGCTTCACCAACAAAAGACAGCATGCTTTGCGGTATGTTTTGGAGTTAACAGGGTGGGAAGAGCACAGTAATGGGGCGGGGATACTATCAGCTCTGTAGGATTTGATTGGCTCTTGCGTTGTAATCTCTGATGAGACCTTAAATGCTCCTCTTCAGCTCTACCTTCCCACATCTCTTAAATATCACCTGTCTGGAGTGTTACGCCGCTTTTGCCGGGTAATAATTATGTCGAAGAAAGCGAGTCGATGGCTGTGCTTAATAGTACAAATCACACAGAACAGCAAAACTGAAAACGCAAGAAAAATGTGGGGGGTTAAATGTAATGTTTTAAATAATAAAGTCTACATTCAAATGTTGCTGCATAATTTGACTTTTACTTATCATGGATTTCTTACATGCTCTCACGTCTACTCCCAAATATGTCACGGCCGTGCAGCTGGGGTATCGATTATAGTAGGCTAGAGATAGCTTAAGGGCGCCGCTATTGGCTACTTTAAATTCATTTTTTTCTGACAGCACCTGAATGCAGCACAACGGGAGTTGGGCGACTTGGGTCGTGACGTACAGCGGAGGAGGCGTGTCTTCTAATGAAATCAGCTGGGGAAACAACAACAGAAAAGGGGGGTGGCTCAGACCAGAAAAAAATCTTTAGGCCAGTTATGTTTCGATTTCATTCGAGAAGGCGTCGGTTTAAAACCAAAACAGCATCTTATCAGGTCTGCAGCGGCGAGCCGGTACTTGTTGAGTCCTAAGACGCTCGATCAAAGAGGCAGCGAGGGGAGGTGAGAGGAGCAGGAGGATGTGACAGGGCACAGGTCCTGTGCGACGTCCGCAATTGTATATGCTCTTTGATAAACAACGGGGATACTCGCGAGCGCCTCTTCATTCTCCGCGCGTCTTTGTCCGGTTTGAGTGACCGGCTGAACCACCAGCAGAGTGGCATGTGGGTCAACTCTGGAACCGTCGGAAGGTAGGAGCCCCTCCTGCAGGAAGACTGGGTCACATGCTCCCACTGTAATTCTTGTTGTGCACAAAGCCACACTCTGTTTTACAATAGCCTTTACCCCAAAGATCCTAAAATCATCACCAGCTTTATTCTCTTCATATCATGGTGACCTTATTATACTTACTGGGGGTTTAATCTCCTCTTATATCTCTGTAATAGTCCCAGGGGCTCTTACATACACTTCATGTGTATGAAATGATTATTGTAGCAAGAGATGTCACAAAGCAAGATTACTGTTTTGTTAAAATCCCACATGTGCAGCACAGACTGCTGTTATTAGAGCATTTCGATTCAGTGCTGTAGTGCAGTGGATGGGCTTGGCACATTACGCAAGACTTTATCAGCGCATCATTTGAGATGTGGGTTGATGTCTACCTGCGTTTTACAATGTCGGTAAGTGAAAGATGTCTCACCACCGCGCTGAATGTTTTGTGTATCCTGCCTTATATTTCCCCCTGACGTGTGTGACAATACGGCAGATTGTCTGGTTTGCTGAATCGGTTTCCAGAGAGAAAATATGAATGAGCCAGGTGGTTATGAATGGCTGCGGGGAGAGGGAGTACGCGAGGTGTCTTTCATTGATGAGTGTAGTGATCCTACGCCACAGTATTTAGTGGAACAGCATGCGGATCAGAACCGTGACAATAGATAACGCGCGGTATCTCAGTTTGTAGACAGCACGCAAACTCTCGCACGCGCGCGCGCATGGACAAACACGCACACACACACACACACACACTCCCATGCTGATCCTGTGGCTATGACGTCATGAGAAGGATTGGGTTGTGCAGGCATAACTGCGTGGCTGGTGAAGAAGCCTCTCACTTCTACCTGGAAATGAATATTTAATCTGACCGTATTTTCATTACCACTCATCAGCAATTAGTCATATCTGCAGGGTGTAGTTGCGTAAACAACCTGGCACACTTCTCTGTCATATTTTGCAACCTTTGTGTTTTGGCCAATTTATTTTTCTCCTGAAACAATGTCTATTAATGGACACCCTGTGATTGTGACTCATCCTTTATGTGGAAACGCCAACTGTTCTAAACAGTGTTATTAAAACTATTAAATATTTTGTTCTATGTGATTCTGTCTCAATATCCTGGTCAGAATGAATCTGCCATTGTTGCCACAGCATATATTTGAGCTACAAACCAGTAAGACTTTACACCTCAACTACTAAACTATTAATCAATCAGTAATCAGGGCTGTCATTGTGTATACATTCAGATGGATGTGGAACAGAGCTACTTACTGTCCTGGTCAGGCATTATGCCAGACGCTTTGACTGTGTCAACAGCGTAGAGATAACATAGTGCAGCACTGACAGACCCACATGGAAGAGTCAGCCAGCATTGGATGGCTGTCTGGAATGTTTTGACCTCTGTATCAGGCTGTAGTGGAAGGTGCACAGGGGTAATAGAGCTTGAAAATTTGTACATGTTTGATGCTTTAAGTATGTGTTGTATTCACTTTTAACACAGTATCTTACAACATGGACCATAGAGCTTTGTTGAGAAACAGTATTTTATACATTTAACAGGTGGTGGTATGTTTGTAGTGTATAATGGTTTTTTTTTTTAGTTAAAAGGACTATGGTTTTATGTTATGTCATGTTTAAATCATCCGTTACATACACAAAGTAAATATGTGGTCTTGAATATCGTTCTCCTGACAAACGTCAACCACCTCCCCATCCACGAGGTTACGATGATATTTGGGTCACTGACTGAATCCTTTGGCTCAGTGTCACAGTAATTCATGGAAGCCTTGACTCAGTTTCAGAGAAAATTACAAAACATTCCATGGCTAACTTCTCAAATTCTCATATGGGAAATATAAACATCTATCAAATGTGTCATGCATCAAGTTTTTCAGTGTCGGAACATTGTACATCTAGAAAATGTTCTCATTGTTGCATATTGAAATACTAGAATCTAATGATGCTGTCAAACGTTAGGCTTCAAACCAGAGTATGCAACGGTATTTGAAAGGGCCGGTGCTAATATGAAGCTCTATGCACTTTGGATGGAAACACAGCATTTTGTATATAAAGGTAACAATTTAGCAAAAATAGCTCCTTTAGTTGCTTCTTTGAGTAGAGACTCACACTGTCAAAACAGAGTCAGAGCAATCACAAAGTGATGTAATGGTCAATGACAAATGGCAAAGGAATCGACAGCTCATGTTTATTTATCAGAATACTCTTGAAAAGAAAATAATAGGAATGGGTGAGGAAGCGGTAGAGGTGTTAGAAGAAAAAGTGAATGACAGGCAGGGGAGATACTCTATATAAAACATTTCTGTGATGGAGGGGATACTGAAAGCTATAAGGGTGTGAAATGGAAATGAGATAGAGAGAGAGAGACTGGGAGAAAGAGTAGGGGGAAAATATGGTCACGGGAGATGGAGGAGGAAGATAGGCAGGGATAAAGGAAATGAGGGCATCAAGATGAGCCTGTCTGTGTCTACAAAGCATTATTGCAGCAGGGAGAAGAGGAAGATTTTCTCAAGCAGGCTGACATGCTGCTCCCAAAGACTCCTCTTTTTCATTTAATTGGGATAGATGCGTTCATATCACCGTCTGCCACAGGCCGTGCATGAACACCAGTAACATCTGCAGTGGGTGAGGCAACTACGTGCAGTCCTGCATGTGTGTATGCATGTCTGAGCTAGTGTGTGTGAGTCTGAGGTCTACTGTCAGCCATCCAGGGAGCCAAGCTGAGGCTACAGAGCAGGTTATGTAACCAGTCTGTGCCAGCTGTGCCTGTGGCAGTCAATGTCTCAAAAACACACTTTTGACAAAAAAAAAAATTGTTATAAAAAAAATTGGGTTGCATACATGATTACACATGTACCCATAGTTTCTTCCAGCAATTACACATGGACACTTTGACAATGCAGTCAAGCCTGTGATAGCGTAAAGCCCATAGCCCTGTGTCAGTGCACAAGTGTTGGCCCATGTATAAAGTGGGTGGTTATTAGGGCCATTTTTTAAAAAATTTTTTTACAGGGCTGGGTGGAGGGACTGGAGAGGCGGGCGGCTTCGTTATGACATGAGGGTGAACTCCAGCCCCATGGAAGAGGACAAAAAGAAGGTGGATGGGGGCTATGGAGAGTTTTGCGATGAGCGGTTGGGCTGCCAGTGGTTCGCTTAAGGTGTTACATAACAAAGAGAGGGAAACATAGGGGGGAATCAGAATGGGTGTGGGAGGGCTGTCTGGTTAATTCTCCTCCTTGATTGCCATCCAGAAAAAGTGTAAGGTCATAGATAGATAGATAATAAAAAGGATGGAGGGGGCATGACGTTGAATGTGAGAGGGGGGTGACAAAGAAAAGCAGAAGTGGAAAAAGGTAATTTAAGACAATAGGTGAAGTGAGGGATGAGATAACTGAACTGTGAAGCATTACATTTGGAGAATGAATACAGAATGGGAGAGAGAGAGCAGGGGCGTTTGTCAGCGGGTCAAAAGGTGTAGGAACAAACCCGATGGACGTAGACAGACAGAAGGATAAGTGAAAGGATTTAGTAAGGAAGCAATGGGTGTGTATAAAAAAAACCCCAGAGGTAAAGATGCCAGGAACTGTGTAATGAGAAAAAGCTGTAAGCCATCTCCTTATGAAACCCCCTCTGGCCTTAAAGCAAAGTCACACTGAGACACACACGGCCCAATTTATGCATGAGTTTCTTTGTCTATCTGCTCCTCCTGCAAGGAACACACACGGACGGACACGGACATGCTGACTCAATCCATGACTTTCCGAGTAAACCAGAGGGTTGATGTTTGTGTGTTGAGTGGGCGTTTGAGTTCCTGTCACAGTGTTCCTATCACTGCGGTCTTGTCTACACCCATCAATATGCCACTATAAGAGTCAAAAACACATGCACGCATGCACAAAACCGGGACAGAATCTCATTCTCTCTGTCACACACACAGGCGCATTTATATCCCAACACTTCTTTGTCCTTGCAGCCTCCTTTGCTGCCATGTTGGGAAGATGACACTGGCCGGCAGATGAAGTCTAGACGTCTGTGTGCAGTTGACTATAGGTCGTTGGCTAAAAATGAAACCTGAGCTTTACAGCTTCTCTTTCCGTTTTTCCGTTCGTCTGAGCTGCTCTGCTCTCACGGCCCCCGGCTCCTGCTCATCCTCCCGTCTCGCAATTAAGAATAACTGTTGAAGTTTGTGAAAGCTCAGCAAGTTCAAATATGAACCTGAGAGCAGGTGCATATCTGTCAAGTGCAGTGGTATGTGAGTAGACAGTTGTGTTATGTATGCTGACCGACGCATGACCAGACTCTTGCTCGGAGCCCGATGCAGAGCCACAGATGGAGCACGATATCTGGGAGCCGGGTAGTCTTGATCCCCCTGAGAAACTATCCACACCACCACCACCACCACCACCACCAATGCTACCTCCTGGTTACATCACTGCCCCCCATCATTCCATGCTTCACAGACCGGCCCTAAGCTCATTACCACACGCACACGCATGCACGCACGCTCACATGCACATACACGTACTGACTTCCGGACTCCCATGGGTCAGTAGTAGAGGATGTTAAACTGTACTCTGATCTCTCTGTCTTTTTCTCTATCTGTCTTTCTGTCTCAGAGAACCAGTTATTTGTCAATAGAGAGCAACATCAGCTGGAAAAGCTATGATTTGTTCCCCTGAGCAGCCTTGGTTATTGTTGGTTTTGCCCTTTTGATCTCCATGGCATGACTGACTGATTTTAATGCTGGGATGACAGTCTCTCTCTTTTTCTCTAAGACTCTAATAATCCCCTCTCTGCCTTGTTTCTCTTGCAATCCCTTTTGCTTATCTACTGTTGCATTAGAAATGCTGGGAATTAACAATACTATGTATCCACTCTCCCTCTCCCTCTCTGTCTGTCAATGCCTATGGCATTTTTTGTTTTCTGTCTGCTTGCATGTCCTTTACCACATATTGTACCATACTTGTATGTCAGGCTTCACACTTGGCCATTCATCCCTGTTTTCTTAATACAGCACTAAGAGGACTGCTGCTTTGGCAGCTACGATTACTATTGGGCAGACAGCCGTTAGATAAGCGCAAGGTTGTGGTACCTTTTTATTGCTTCTTCTATCTCTCTCCTTTACCTGTAGTACGTGTTTCTCAAGGTGTCGCAGCCAGAGAGGTGGCAAGGGCAAAAAAGAGTATTTATAACTGTGAAAGGCACTATCTGTTCCACATGGACCATTCAGGAAACAGCCTCTTTGACAGCCTCTTTTCTTTAGCTCACATACACAAAGGTAGGATCCCTGTGCTGTACCTCCTGGCTGACGAAAAAAGGACTTCTTTTCACAGGAAATCAGGAAACATTAAGATGTTTTTGTTGTTTGCTGACAAAGAGAATAGCAGCAGTGGAGTTATGAACAGGTTGGAGGTAAGTGAGGATGTGGAGAGCAGGTCATGGTTGAATAGCAGGGTGCACACATGGCTCATGTGTCCGATGAATAGGTGCCATTTTTAGCTGCTGATGTCTGTCAGTGCTGGACTGAAGTGTTGCACAGGCATCCATGTCAATGGAATAACAGGCAAAGGCCTTTATGAATGTTTCAGACGCTCTATTTATGGGGCCTTGGGGTGGTTCTTTGAACAAGTTGCAAGGACGGATGGACTGATTAACTGACTACAAGTCTATCTGTGTGTGTGTGTGTGTGTGTGTGTGTGTGTGTGGGGGGGGGGGGGGGGGGGGGGGGGGGCGGTTATGTAATAGAGCAGATTCTTCCAGGAATGTTTATTTTAAATGGGTATTAACATGTGTTTTGACATGTCACAAATGTTTGTAAGCAGTTTATGGAAAAAAGGATTTTGATAAGCTTTTTACAACATGTGTGGTTTAAAAAGAGGAAGTCAGTTGAGCTGTGTATATAACCACCTCCGTCTTGTGCTGAGGTTAAGTGCGGAGCTGACAGCTGACAGGTCAAACATGCAACCGCACTTTCATCTGTTTTTCCCCCCTTCCATGCAAGCCTACAGTGAATACACTTGACCCCAAAATATGATGCACAACTCCCTGTGCTCCTGAATGACCTAAAAAGTTAATTACAAATGGCTTTATGAGGGATTTTATTGTCTGTCTTTTGTGCTGCCAAGCTAGATATTTCATCACATTGACTTATGTTTTCTCTGAAGCAAAGATGTTATCAATGCATCAAAAGGGGAATAGAAAGGGGGAAAGACAGACAAGGGGAGAAAAGGACAGTGAGCTCAAGGGAAGTCTCTCTTTTTGGCTCTGTCTTTCTCGCTCTCTCTCTCTCTTTCCCTGTGTGAGCTGTTACAGAAATAGCTCTGCAGTCCCTCTATTCCTCAGCCTGCGAACCATGTGTTCTGTTTAGGAGTTTGGCAGAAGCCCTTGAACACTGGTCAGTACAGCTATGGAGGCTTAGAGCCTTAACAAAGCTTCTCTAGCCTGGACTGGGCGAGAGTTAAAAGCTACTGTGCCTGATACCAGTTGCTTTCTTTGTCGAAATGCACTGTCATTCCTCCTGGGATACTTTATCAATGTGATTTTAATTGTCCATGAATATTGAATTAACCTCTTTTCTTTCTCTCTCTCCCTCTCTCCTCTCCTCTCCTCTATTCTCCAGGGCCCTCTCCATGGATATAGACACAGACTATGAGCGGCCCAATGTGGAAACCATTAAATGTGTGGTGGTAGGGGATAACGCAGTAGGCAAGACCAGGCTAATCTGTGCCCGGGCCTGCAATGCCACCCTCACACAGTATCAGCTGCTTGCCACCCACGTGCCAACCGTCTGGGCCATCGACCAGTACCGTGTATGCCAGGAGGTGGGCACACACATACACATGTACACACACAGGCAAACACAGTGGGGAAAGAGCCACTTATAGACAAACTTTTGGACATGATACTGAGGCTGTTTATTGTGCATCTCTTTCCGGGCCTGTAAAACAAAACTTAATTTAAAAAAAAATGTCGACCATGAAATTTGACATTGTGACATTTTTTCATTTAGCTTAGTGATTGCATAATCCTTCAATTCCACTAAAAAGACAAACATCACACTGACGTTAAGACCTTTTGACTTGATCACGGGGATATGTGCCTGTGTTGCAGGTGTTAGAGAGATCTCGTGATGTAGTGGATGAGGTCAGTGTGTCCCTGAGGCTATGGGACACATTCGGGGATCATCACAAAGACAGACGATTTGCCTATGGCAGGTGAGCGTGCGCACACACACACACACACACACACACACACACACACACGCACACACACACACACACACACACACACACGGTTTCAGACTGTCTAACAGCCAGAACCTAGTTACTGACCCAATAACACAGTTGCTGGCTGACCACAAGGTTAACTACCTTGCAACACACTCCATTTTCACAGTTGGTGCAGCCAAGGGATTGCTTTGTCTTGGCTGTATAATTTGTAAGGCATTGACACAATTTCTTTGGGCTAATATGGGACTAAAGTCATTGTTAGCCAGTTCAAGAGAACGTAATTTAAAAATGGGAATATAACTTATCCGTAACACCCACATAAAAATCCCCACATAACATTCACTTACCCAGAAGTTGTGCAATCCAGCTGCCACGCTTTTTAGTTGAACTCTGCCCTCAAGCTGTTACACCCTTCCTCCACCAGACATGATTGGATCATCGCTCTATCCTCTTACTCCCCGGCCCTCCATCAAAGCTGATTTATTGGCATGAAATGCAAAAGTAGGAATTGCTAAAGGAAAATCAGGAACTACCAATTTAAAAAGCAGTGACCAAACCTGACTTCATGACCGTAACACAGAAAAGTGAAATGTATTTCATAAATGAGTCCCGTATATAGACAATTAATTATTAATCCACATATTTATATACACTGTTGCCCATAAAGTTGGAGTAATTTTGTTTTCAGACACAATCCTCTGTTTATTCCTATTTAAATGCATCAGTAATCACTTTGGAAGAGATTGACTACTAAAGGTTTGAGAAGATATACACTTTATCTGTCAAGAATAAATCACATTGTCACAATCATTTCATGGAAAGAGGTAAAAAATATTTTATTCCAACTTTATGAGCAACAGTGTAGATACATTATTTTTTGTTGTTGTTTTATTTCTTCTATTTTATGACACAATTCTGAGACATGTGTTGCCAGTTTCTACTTTTTAAGTCTAGAATGAACTGTAATTCAATGCATCTTTCCCTGCATCCATCTACATTACCATTTTATCTATTCTATCCCCTCTGTTGTGCTCTTCCACTCTGTCAGTGTCTGTACATTTGCGCAGTAATCTGCTTCTGTTTGTGTGTGTTTTGGTGTGTGTGTGTGTGTGCATGTCTGTCCGCATGTCCTGTCTGCTTTGTCAGCCTGCAGTCAGCTGATAGAAACACAGTGCCAGCTCAGCTGTTTTCTGCCTGCCTGCCTCCGTGGTGTCTGCAGCTCCAGGCATCAACCTCCCCTCCTCCTCCTCCTCCTCCTCCTCCTCCTTCTCCTCTTACAGCTCTGTTCATCCACTTGTTCGTGTGGGGTCATGCCCTCTCCTCCAACCTGCCCTCAGACTCCTCTCCTTTACCTCACTTCCCCTCCTGTCTCCCCCATCTCCCTCATTATCTGGCTCCTCAGCTCCCATCATTAGCCCCTTGACACGTAGCTGCCCTCTCCACACCTTTTCTTTCACTATGCAGCCTTTTGTTGATATCAAAACTCAAAACATCACATTGTCAGACAATACCCAGACTGTCACATGCTTTGTTAGGAGAACATTCTGGTTGGGAAAACACTCCTAACCTGAAAAGCCAAACTTAACCTGAGCCAACCTCAACGGAACTTGAAATGAACATCAGAAATTCATTATAAGCTTTGTTCCTGTTAGCTATTTTAGTTGCACAGTTTCAGTACTATTGTGACAGACTTAACAACTGATGAAAGAGTAATCTAGCTGCCTGCGTGAGACCTATTTATTTCTTTATTACAACAGAAAATCTGATTATTTGTTGTGTTTGTGTGTGTGTGTGAGTGCCTGTGTGCATATATGTGTCATTTCTTACATAATCTAGCAACTGATGACCTTTGTAGTTTGGATCTACCACACAAACACACACACAAACCACATCCACCACGTACACACACACACACTAAAAAACCAGTCACTGGTGGAGCTGTTTATTACACATTAGTGCTGGTGGTAAATTAGTGATAGAACAGTGAACTTGTATGTCTTTTCATTTAACTCACAGGTGCTTTTTCTTGAGATGTATTATTATAATATGATTATTTTTATATGACTTAACTTTGTGGCAGTGTTCCATTGCAAACAGAAAGGGTATGCATGAATACAATATGTAGGTTATCTAGGTCGACCTGCATGTTGAACCAGGAAGTAGCTGTGCAGTGCAAAGCAGCCGCAGTAATTCTTTGGGTTCTAGTTTTTGATGTGCACATTTGCTCTCAGACTTTTTAAACAGCTGCTTTTTAAAGATAGGTTAAGACTAAACAGGTTCAGAAATCTCCCAGGGCTCACGTTTCGTTGGGCTTGGCTGGAGGCCTTTGTAAAGCTGTTTCCAGCAAAGTGCATCCCCTCAGTCTCTACAGTGTTGGTGGCGAGTACAATGATGTGCTCACATAAAGGTACACTGGTCCAAACTATATGGCAGTAAGGCTTAAGTTTAACCACGAGAGCAAAGGCACGTACACATAGCATGACCTCAAACACACTAAGCCACAGTAATGATCCTTTGACAAAGTGCTAATGGGAATTCCTATGAGTGTATGTGTGTGTGTGTGTGTGTGTGTGTGTGTGTGTGTGTGTGTGTGTGTGTGTGTGTGTGTGTGTGTGTATGTGTGTGAGCTGTGATGTAATAGCAGTGCATATTATGTCCTTGGGCATTGGAGCTTTTCAGAGATTACATTAGTGAAAGTAAAGACAGACTATGGAACCCATGTCTACACTGCAAAAAATCTCCCAAGCAAGTCAGTTGATTTAGTGCTGTGTGTCTTTGTAAGTGATTCACTCCGCTACATTGGCAGCTACAAGGATGCTTTTCAAACACTTAAAAAATTGTTGAAATTTCATTCGAAACAAGTGGAATTACCTCTCTTTGCTTGTCTGTTTGTTTAATTTGTGCAAAGAAAATACTTTACTATTAAATACTAGATAAAAAAAGTAGATAAGACTTTTTTTTTTTACAGTGCATCTTTTGTCTGCTCAGTAAATAGGCCATGTTTCCTGTAGCGCAGGTATTTTGCCCGAGGGGAAATAAGAGCAGTGTTTAAGTGGTATGTAGTGCTGCTCTCAAGTTCAAGATTCACTTGAGCATCTCACATCCTGTGATGGATACTAAATGCCTAACTAATGTCAAAAACAGGAATACATATTTCATTATCTGCAGGCTGTCAGTGATGGTTAATGTAGCACAAAAGTTACATAAGTGATGTTAATGTAATGTACTGGGTCTGGTCTTGTGCTGCTGGGGTCAAAAGCCCTGTTTTGCGATATTTTAAGAAGTAGATCGTTTAGGAATTATAGATTTTTGCCCTGTCAGCATTGTGCTGATACTAAATGATTTGCCTAACTGACCCAGAGCTCTGTCAAACATTACCTAGAGACACACATGCGCCAACATGCCACTGAAATATCAGCACCAGAGAAACTGTAAGTAAGTGCTGCTGTCTGCTTGCTCAAAACACATCGGTTGAGGAAATGAATTTCTGTGTGTGTGTGTGTGTGTATGTCTGTGTGTGTATCCTGATCTATTCTTAGCTTCCTCTTTGTGGTCCATGTAGCCTTGGAGGGCTTAGGGAGATTTATGTAAGAGAGAGAGAGAGAGAGAGAGAGAGAGGGACATGGCCCACACAGATCACCAGCCCAGAGGCCCAGACTCAAACACACATACACACATAAACAGACTGACCCACACACACACACACACACACATGCATCTTGTGACCCACCTCATAGCTTTCTCAGTGGCACTGTCCATGCTCCCACAATGCCTTGCAGCAGCTGAACAGGCTTCTTCCATATACATATCACACATGTTTTAACATAAAGTGACATGATGTTCAGTGACTCAGTGCTGCCCCCTTTTTTTCTTTGTCTCCTTTCTGTCCCCTTCACTCTGTCAAAGATGTCTTCTCTCTGCTGACATCTCTTGCTCATGACACAAGAAATCAGCTCCACTCTGCCATCTTTCTCCCATCTTATCTGTGATCTCTGCCATGTTGTAAGTACATGAAGTGAAGACTGTTTTTTTTTTTTTTCCTCTCCCTCCCTCCCCTGTAGGTCTGACGTAGTGGTGCTTTGCTTCTCTCTGGCTAATCCCAATTCCTTGCGCCACGTCCGCACCATGTGGTTCCCGGAGATCAAGCACTTCTGTCCCCGGACGCCCATCATCCTGGTCGGCTGCCAGCTGGATCTGCGCTATGCCGACCTGGATGCAGTAAACCGTGCACGACGACCCCTAGCCAAGTGAGACACCTTCTTCATCAGGCATTGACAGACAAATTTGCTTAAAATTTGCACTATGGTGGTTTTCAGTGAGTGTGGGGTTTGTTCAGTTAATCAGTGATCAGTAATAACAGCATTAAAGTAACTTTTTGCTGTTTTTGCATTTCATTGGTTAACTGTCATCTCAACTCTTGCATGATATAAATAAAGTGCGGGTAAATGAGAACTAAGATGAAGACAACTTTGTCTTGCCCTATATAAATTTCATGCTCCACTTCCTCCTTCCTCGCTATACTTGTTTATCTGAACACAGTCATCATTAACGTCATTATCTCTGCCCGTCTCACAGACCCATCAAACCTACAGATATCCTTCCTCCAGAGAGAGGCCATGAGGTGGCAAAGGAGCTTGGGATACCCTACTATGAAACCAGCATTGTAGCCCAGTTTGGAGTCAAAGATGTTTTTGACAATGCCATCCGAGCCGCCCTGATCTCCCGTCGACACCTGCAGTTCTGGAAATCCCATCTCAAAAAGGTCCAGAGGCCCCTTCTCCAGGCGCCATTCCTGCCTCCTCGCCCACCACGCCCAATAGTGGGCATCCCAGACCCCCCTCCCATGGACGGCGAGGGCCCTGATTCCCTTTTCTGCCAGCCACTGTGTGCAGATGTTCTTTTCCTCCTGCAGGGTGGCACCACTCGCGTCTTTGCACACAAAGTCTATCTGGCTACTTCCTGCTCCAAGTTCTACGACCTCTTCACCCTTGATCTTGGTGGATCATGCTTGACGCCACGGGGGGAGGAACAGGAGAGCAAGGAAAACTTGGAGAGTGGGGAGGAAGATGAGCAGAGCAGGAGAGGAGCCAAGGAGCAAGCTGGGCGCACTAAGAGCCTGGACATTGATAAAGATGGCGTTGATGGAGGAGTGCGGGGCCTGAATCGACCCCAGTTGCTCCAGCAGGGCTCTTTGAGGACTTCCCAGAGTGATAATGCACTCCCGTCTCGAGCCCAGTACTCGCTGGGAGCTCTAGGGACTGGTCGAGCACTTTCAGGATGGGGGAGAGGGTTCTTGAGTGTGTGTCTGGAGCATGTTGATGATCCGATGACTGGACGACCACGACTCGTGACTGTGGTAGCCATGGATGCGCTTATACAGGAAGAACCATTCAAGGTGATGGACTTGAACGCAGCAAGATTACCTAAAAAAGATATCCATACATAATAGTGGAAAATAATTCTGAATTCTGTTAATGTTAATATTAGAAATGTTCTGCATCATTACAGCAGGGTACTCATTAAGTTTTTTTTGCCGTTTCTATAGTTATAGCTGTATATTTGACTTCTCGATTGTCTCTGATTTCAGGCGGTGCTTCAGTACCTGTACACAGGCAGTCTTGACGAGGGCCGGGGGGATCTGATGCAGGTGGCCACCATAGCTGAGCTACTTGAGGTGTTTGACCTGCGGATGATGGTGGCCAATGTTCTGAACAGAGAGAGCTTCATGAACCAGGAGATCACCAAAGCCTTCCATGTCCGCAGAGCCAACCGCATCAAGGAGTGTCTCAACAAAGGGACCTTCGCTGGTAAACCACCGTGCAAACTGTTCAATACTTCAGTACTCTCAAATAGCATTCGAGCCATTGTAGATGTTTTCCATGTATGCATCGGTAGCTGTTTGAGTGCATGTGTGTGGGTGGGTGTGTGTGAATGTGAAAGTTGGAGTGGCTGAGGATTATGAGAGGTGGCTGACTAGAAGTGAAAGTAAGACAGAAAAGATTTTGCTAATTTCCAGCATTCTCTTTCAGTCTCTGGAAATGTACACTTTGTGTACATTTACTCATGCTGTATATTTGCCATTGAATATTTGCTATAAAGTATGCATTTTGTATGGTGTGCTTCTGTTTTCTGAAGTTCTTTTAAAGTCATCAAGTGACTTGATGACTGACTGTTGTTTCAGTCTGCTTGGTTTTCTTGTGTTTGCCCTTGTGTGCTTCCTGTCTTATGTGTTTGTGTGGTGTTGTCTGTCCCCCTAAGCTGTTGTATTTGCATGTTATCACAGCATTTGCAGCCAATGCCAGACATCTGCTGTCTCTGAACAAAGCCTGTCTCACATTCACCTCTGTCTATACTCTCTCAGTTGTCTTCATGATTATAACGATGGGAATCTTGCTTTAAAATGCTTCTAAGAGATTCTATTGATAAATGAAACTACTTGAACAATTGTATAATCTTTATCCAATTTATTACTCAAGGACTGAATTAAAGAAATATTACTTTCAGGTGTAGCTGTGTTTCCTATCACACTTTCACTACCAAAGCTATAGTCCAGAGTCCACACAGGATTTACTCCATGACCTACTACCCTGCGTCTGCTCTTCCCTTACTCTGTGTCAAAAGCTGTTCTGTCCTTCTGTCAATTTATCTCTCTGTCTGTCTACCTGTGTCTTTGTCTCTGTGTGTTTCTGTCTGGCCTTCTGGCCTTCTGGCCGTCTGTCTGCCTGTGCGTGTGTCTGGACGTCTGCCTTGTCTGTCTTTCCCCCTCTGTAGCTTGGGCTTCTGTGGCACTCCACGAGATGAATGCTCTTTTCCCACCCCGGTTTTAGATGTGGTGTTTCGGCTGGATGATGGCTGCCTCCCGGCCCACAAGCCCCTGCTCATCTCTAGCTGCGACTGGATGGCTGCCATGTTCCGTGGCTCTTTCATGGAAAGTTACATTGAAGAGGTGAGCTCAGACATACTGGGAAGAGCTTGAGGATGGCATTATATTTAAGGTTTGACGAGCGATTTATTTTCTGTGTCTTGAATCTTGGGAAATTTGCCACAGTAAACTCAGGGCAGCCTTTAGGGGCAACCGAATCACCCACCTGTGCTAATCATATCAACAACAGCACTAACATCTAGTAAAATAATCAGTAAATGAGGTAAAGGTAAATGCATTACTTGGATAAGGTTTATTACTTTGGACATGTGATACTGTTATGGCAGTGTGAAGAAATCTGCATGTGTGTCTGTGTTCTCACTGTGAGTATGTGAAGGTTTACAGCTCAGGATACTTGTGGCCTGTTATCAGTTTGACCTACAAACTGTTTTTTCACCTGCGAATGTGGTTGAAACTCTGCAGTTACTAGAACCCCAGAGGCCTTGCAAAAACACACACACACACACACACACACACACACACACACACACACACACACACACACACACACACACACACATACACATATTTGTTTAAGTTATTGGTTAAGCAACATGAGAACTTCTTATCTTTTGACTTCCTGTTGTTTGACACCATGTTTACAGTATTTGGTTTTGTGTTACATGTGGCTCATCTCCAGTTGTCAGTAGTTTCATATCTTAAAGTTGCCCTGGTGCGTATACTCCACAGATCACATTATCACACAAAAGACATCAGTTTGTGTGAATATTAAACTGCTGTCTTATTAAAGGCAGACTCAAGTTAGAAACTTTGCAACATTTGTGCGAGGCATCAAGCTTGTGTAGAACAAGGACGTGCACTAACCCACCTCAGTGCCTCGTACCTCTCTCGAGGTCAGCCTTCCTCAAGTGGCGGGCTCTGGTTACTTCAGGCGTGTGTGCTGACCTGAGGCTCAGCTTCTGGTCGCTCGGTCCTCCTCCGGGGGTAGGGCCCGTGTGTTTGACCTGACCTAGCCACAGAGGAAGTTCACGTCTCGGGCCGTCTTTACGTCGATGCTCCCCGGACTGTGTTGCGGAACCGGATCCCCTGGGGTATGGTTACTTTCAAGGTCAGCAGGGTTAGGTTACATAGATTCAGGCTCTCAGAGGGATTGGAAGTAAGAAAGAAATTAAAAGAGAGAGACAAGGAATAAAAATGTTGTGTATTCACTTTAGGTGCAAAGCTCAAAGTTAAAAAGTTAGTTAGAAGGCAAATTAGAAGAAAAGAAATGTAGAGCTGGGAAAGAAAAATATTTGGTGTTTTGTTTCCCTGTGGATAGCCTGGATTTTATTCCAGAACACACCATGTGAGTGGGTGTGAAAAAGCCATTGCAGCTATTGTGGCCGAGGGTAAAAACAGGACATCAGCATCACTGAGGGGGCACAGTGTTTGCTGCTGGTGGGCTGCCGGTGTCTATGGTTACTGTACACGCTCCATGATAGTGACTATTGTGGCATTGTTTATGGCATGAAGCTGGCACAGCAGAGAAAGCAGGTGCCCTGGAGACAAAGACTCAAAAGACTGACTGCACAACGAAGCTGTCAGCATTTACATACGTCTATGAGCAGGAGTGTGTTTGTGTTTGCATATAAATGTGGCTGCATTTTCAGGCTGCTGAAAAGCTTTGCAGTGCTAATTACTGAATTAGATTTTATAAGTCAACAGCAAGCTGCAGTTATTGGACTGTCTGCTGGCTTTGAAAGTTACTTTCTCCCTCCTTGGACAGGCGAAGATGTTGTCTTTTAAGTGTTGATAAGGTGCAGATTTTTTGCAGAGTTGTCATGCCATTGGCTGTGCATTTCTCTTACTGACTTTGAGGCACACATTTCAATGGTTAAATGTTAGTTTGAAGAGCGGTGTAAGTAGAACTGAGCAGAAATGCATGCTAAAACACTTGACACTGGTCCTCCAATAGGTGCAGAGCTTTTATAACAGGGACACAATTGTGCAACCTTGACACAGCAGATTGCCTATTTCTATTCAGTTTCTCACAAAGAGAAATTATTAAAGGGTGTTGATGTTGAAAACAACAACAACAAAAAAGAAATCTTTCAATGACAGGATGAGATCTGGTGAATAAGGGTGATAATTAAATGTTATTGTTCATCAACTTCCAGTAGAATCATATCAAGGCGATTTAGTGGTTCTGCAATTATTTGAAGGCAGTATCAACATATTACAATATAACAGCTGTTCTCTTAGGTGTGGAAAGAAGCTTATATAACTCCATTATATTAAAAATTGAGAGAACCTGCAACTCTATAACTGTGATAGAAGCATGTGATCAGCCAGTGTTGGGATATAAATGTGACCGTTCTATTTTCACGCTGAAGTCACACTTCCTTCTCAGTATTTTTAGGCTCACACATTTCGGTGTTCATGCTGTTGTATGACAACATGGCTATTGTAATTGTGTGCAGAACAGCATGAAGATATGTTGTAAACAGATTTAATATAATCATTATTATTTGTAGTATTACTGGATATTAGCAACATTATAGAAGGATGTTTGTGCAAAACTCTAGGTTTTAGCTATGGTGTAGTAATCAAAAAGTCAAAAGTTGCCTATTGAGCTTTGCTGTGTGTGATAGGCAGCTATACAAACTGACCACTGTGTGTCATGGTTCACCCTTGGATTATGTTCTAGGTGTGTGTCTGTGATTTTGTGTTCACATTGTGAGTGTTACATGTGGAGCAGAGTCAACAGGAATTGTTATTTGCGTTCGTTTTTTCACCCTCAGCCTAAAATAGCCCAAATAAACTAAATTAAACTCATAACTGACCACTGGGACGGCAGACTGAGGGCAGCCGTCACTACAGCTGATGGGTCTTGTCCGTAAATGTCCTGTCACTGTGAATGTGTCCACTCATTAATGCTTCCTGGCCCCAGCTGGGGCTTTAAGCTCTGGGGACCACCCTTGTCTCTGTGTTGTGATTTTTTTTTTTAGTCATAAAGAGAGGTCACACCAAGCTGACATTCTCCTAATTGGTTATGGGAGTGGAGGTTTAAGAGCGCCACAGTGGGTACACTCAGAGAGCTCCTGGAGGGGTCAGGTCATCACTCTCATCATCATTTACCATTCTTCCGTCCTTCCTGTGCCTTACCTGCCGATGAATTGCCGTTGGTCTGACTTACAGTAATTAGGCCGACTAGAAGGTCTTGCTCATTTGTATGCATTTACAGGTGATTTTTTTTTTTTTTATGGTTGACTTTGGTTTCGCAATTAAGTTAGACTTTCGCTCTAGTGGAGCATGTACATGTTTCATTTGGAATGGTTCAGTCATCACTGATGACGATGGAGAACATTGATACAGCCTGTCCAGGTGTCGAATCTGTGGAAGGGGTCTGAATCTGCATGTAGCTTTGATGCACATTAAGGCTGACCCTGCATCTCCCTCTGCTCAGCATAGCACGGTTGCCTTTTCTGTGCTTTGGGATCTTTAGCGTTAGCCTTATTGCTCACATCACCAGCCCCCAGACAGTGCTTTCATCTGAGTCTGGATCAAAGGGAATGTGTCCTCTGCCCTTTAACTCCAAATGCTTTCTGTGACATTACTGTCTTCCTGGGACCCTGCCAGGCTTTAGCCATTACGCTTAATTTAGCATGTGTGAATACACAAACATGTTATTTTTTTATCTTAACAAAAGTGCAAGTGCAGGAGAAGATGCACACATGCAGTGCATATTGACTTAGTACTATTCATTTTCAGTCCTTCATTTCATTTCAGTTTTTCCTCTTTCCTCTTGATCTTGTCATTTCTCAGGTATCCATTCCTAACACCAGCACAGCCTGTATGCGTGGGGTGCTGGAGTTCCTGTACTGTGGTCTGCTGACGCCCTGTCCTGGTTTGGAGCCAATGGAACTGATTGTTCTGGCCAACCGGCTCTGTCTGCCACGCCTTGTTGCTCTCACAGGTAAAGACGCTCTCTTGAGTATTAGAAATATTAACTACGTAGTCACTCGAGAGTCTTGTACTGACTGCATGTGGCAGAATATGGTTCTGTTAATGTTTTGTCTGTGCACTAGCTACCAGTAAAAGACTGGAGGTGCAGTGAGTTGTGTTTAATTCAGACTGCCAGACACCCTAAGAATTTATGACTGGAGGATATAAAAACAGGCCCATGTCAGTGGTGTGATGTGGGCAGTAAATATTGACATTATTATGTATATTTTCTGCATCTTCAGAACAGCACGCTGTGGATGATCTTCTCCAGTTGGCAGTGAAAGGAGTTGACATTGATGGACAGGTGTTGGCTTACCTCGAGCTTGCACAGGTCTGTTCCAGCGAATAATCTCTGTCAAATTGATAACAAATTGTAATTGAAAAATGTTTCTTTCTAAGCTGTATTTTTTCACTTTAGCGAAAGGATTAGATGTTCATTTACATTGATGTATAGTAATTTTCCATAAATTAATTTGAATTAATTCTATTAATTCTTAATAATGTTAAAGTTTTTTTTTATCTCACCTTTTACCTTTTATCTTATCTTCTTTTGAGACAGCTGTAGTGACTCCTCATTTCTTCTCTGTTTCTTCTTTTGCAGTTCCACAATGCCAAGCAGCTATCAGCTTGGTGTCTCCATCACATCTGCACTAATTATAATAGCATCTGCCGCAAGTTTCCCAAAGACATGAAGGCCATGTCTCCAGGTACAGACACCTCGCCTCTCTTTGCCCTGATCATCTGCCTCTCTCTAACCCCATTCATACATTCAGCTTTCCCCTCAGAAGAACTATCATGAATTTGGCTTTGCAGTGCTGGTTTGAACAAAAACCTTTACCTTTTTACCTTTCCTGGGTTAATCCACTAAGGAATTGTAGCATGGTATGATTTGTTCAAAGCAAGCATACAAAAGCCCCTCATGGGCTGTGTTTGTAACAAAAAAAACCCCCAAAACATTAAAGGTAACATCATGAAGGTAACATCATGAAGACAACAACAACATTTCATGAAGGTGTGAATACAGAGAATTTTATTAATAATAGGTGGTAATGTGACCACTGGAAACCACAACCGGCCTCATGGGTTTTATGGATAAAAGAATTTCCTCATTCAATTACCCTCACACTTTTTCTGCGATGTTGCTTTTTTCTTCGTGTCACTCTTTTTTAATGGTATTAAAAGTCCCTCACTGTACAAAAACTATTCTCTCTGTTAATTCGTTCTCTTTTAAAAATGTGGTTCTCTCATCCGCTCTTTTATTGCATCAGTGCATGTCTGAAATAACAACTGCAATATTGGAAATGATTCCCTTTTCTGAACATATCTTTGTCTCGCTCTCTGTAGAAAACCAGAGGCACTTTGAGAAGCAGCGCTGGCCTCCTGTGTGGTTCCTAAAGGAGGAGGACCGCTATCTGCGCTCTCAGAAGGAGCGCGAGCGTGAGGAGGAGATCTTGCGCAAGCAGCACACCAAACGGGGCTGGTGCTTCTGGAGACACCCGTCCTCCTCTCCGCATGTCTCCTAAAGGGTGTCCTCCGCTGACGTTTTCATCCTACCCTGGGTCAACACACCCAGGAAAACCAACCCCTATGTAACGCGTATAGAGGAGATCGGCTCTGAACCCTCTATCAGTGGAGGAATGACTCTCAGTGCTACTATGCCTGAGTGTCAGCATGTTTGGGGGAATGTATGTGCCTCTTTATAATTGTGGGTGACTTAATGAGTGGATTTTTTCAGTATGCTTGTGTGACAAGTGTGGACTTAACTAAAGGGTATATGCATGGATGTGGGGGTGTATGTGTGCGGTTCGAGTGATGCTTTCTGAGTTGAGTGCTTCCCAGACGCCCTGATCTATTAAGGGCCTGTGGCGTTGCAGTGCAGCCCCTTGTCCCCTCCACAAGAGCTCTGCCCCTCCACCAGCACTCACAGTGTCACAGCCTTTGAGTGATTGGACTGGGAGCAAGGGCTCTCTATATCTCTCAGTCTCCATCCTTCACATTGACCTTAATGACTATTACACATTGACCACTGCAGCTCCTCTCGGGGAGCTTACCTCTGCCTTCACTTTTACACAGACTGTTAGCCTGCACACACAGACCTGTGCCCAAAGTCCACCCCTCTAAAACCAGCAACTGGATTCCCAGGAACTGTCGCTGACAATGTAATTATTATTATTTTGATATTATTTGTCCTTTTTATATAATCTCTAGGCCTTCTTGGACGCTATTGTCAGGGGATTTGGTGCACACTACTCCCAGGAAGTGTTGACAAATTTGATGATTGCCACTGCAACCACAAAGGTGGGACTGGTAATCTAGACTCCAGACATGGGTGTGAGGATAAATTGAAAACTGTTAGCAAGGTAGGATGCTCCACTCAGGAGGCTTGATCATAGCTATTAACCTCCAGTCTAGCCCTGATGTGGTCCTTGGTCTTCATCATCCACCCCTGCACCTCCCACCCCCTCCTCCTGCACACCACACCTGCAAAAAAGCAAAACACAAGCTCTCCTCGATGAGTTGGATTCACCAAACTGCACTTCAGAGACATTCAAAGTGACCACTCTATAGCAATGATGGGAGGTACAGAGGGCTAGCCTTACTTGATACCTCTGCCACGGAGGAACGATGGATACAGTATTAAACAAATGCGCTTGTAACGTCCATGACCACTAGGTTGCGTATGAGCACCTCTGCCAGCCTGCCTTTACACCCCTACAACACTAGGGGCAGCACTGCTCAGGGCCCCGGCACTAACCCTCACACTAACAGGAGTTTTAATGCCTGTGAGTTCTTTGGTCTAGTTTCAGTTATTAACATCATAGATATAACTTCAATACTCGCAAAGTGTTAGAAGAAAGCTAAAGCACATGGACAGTGTTATTAGTGCATTTAAAAACTATACCTGACTACTGATTTCCACCTGATTCTGAATACCAAAGCTGTGATTCCTTTGATGTCTTTCTTCCTTACCTTCTTCATTTCTGCTTCCCTGCTTCCTGTATTGTCAAGAGCGGGATGGAGGAGAGAAGAAAAAGTGGCTTGTGGGTGAAGGAGGCAGTATAATGGAATATTTGAGTCCCTCCTCGTCATGGTGGTTTTCAGTCTGTGGTGTCAAGAGACAAGTGTCACTGCTGGACATTGCCTTCCATTCCTCTTGCTGGAATTGAAAATGGTGCTTAAGACACAATAAGACAGTGTCCACACGAACACACAGACACACATATGATTTTATGTTCACAGTTTAAGCGTATGTCTAGTTGTTTAGCATTTACCTGCGATGAACATGCAGAAATATAATGATGAGTTTTAAAACCTTAATTTTTCTTCCTTAACAGAGGACGTAATAGGTCACTGGTTTTAGAATGTGTAGATTTCTGCTTTTACATACAGTGGTTACAACCTTGTACTGTCTTTTGCCTCTTTTCTGTTTAAAAAATGTGATCTGTTTTGCTTACATAACGTTAACCAGGAAAATAACATTACGTTAGATTGAATTTTGCAATCGCGAGTGTTGTCTCAAATGACAAATTTGTTCGATATACAAAAGCATATGAGAGCAAATCTGATTTTCTTGCTAAGGGTGCTAATTTTCTTTGGGCTTTAGTACTGAATGTGAAAACAAGACGTTGTGTTGATGACTTTCTATTAGCATGTTGTTCTATTTGTGGGTTTGTGCCCCTCAGCTTTACCCAGGCTACTGTAGATGATAGATAGATTGTGTGAGACATGTGGTGTGTTCTGCTGTTCTCCATGAGAGGTGTGTTAAAGTCATTGTCAGCTACTGAAATAGAAGTCAGATAAGATCTCATGAGACCCAAGTGAGAATTGAGCTGATTCCGCTCTGAAAAGAGTGAATGTCAAGTAAAAGTGAACAAGTCTCTGTCAGCATTACATGCAACCTACATATGTTGGAATTATTCAATGGATATTTAAACTCATCCCAGTGCAGGGCTATGGGAATTTAGAAGTGAGACCTAAAGAAGAGAAAGTTCCATGGCCTCCTTTTAGTTCCTCATTGAAAGGATTGCTATTAGAATTGTCTTATTAATGGTTGGTTTGACCCATTAAGCCTCCTCTCTTGGTCCATGTGCCTTATAGTTGGACAAAACTAGAAAAATTGTTTGTGATTTTAAGAACGTCTATAGTTCAAACCTGCAGACAGGTTCTGCAGTTGCTGACATGATGGACACAGTACACAAAGGCCATGATAAAATTATAGCTGTAAAATGGATTAAGAAGTTGATTAATGCACTCTTAGCCATTATCGTTCTTGAGGACAATTTTGAGCCAACTTGAGCCATGCCTGTGGAGAATCTTTGGGCCTAGTGCTTGATTTATGTAGAAAAAAAATGGCCTTGAATCAATTTCTTAAGAGAGTATAGTACAGTAGGTTGGTCTAATCATATAGCCTTAGGTTAGTATACTTTTTCTAGATTAATGGTAATTATTTGGATGTAGAAGGACTCACATCATGGTTGGGATTCTTCTCTGACCAGGTGATGAGAGGTAGTGATAAAAATGAATCAGGTTGATTCCTGCAGTACAAAAACCACTGACTTTGAGAAAGCAAAGCTTTTTAAAGAGCACTGGCTGGCCTGTGTGCTGGGAGGGTACGGCCACTTTAGGAATGTGGTTAATTTGCATGGTGGCCTAACTTTGTCATTATAATGACACTTGTTGTTGGAATGCACTTTCTTCTTCTTTGGTTTTTTTTTATACATACTTTTCTGTGCTTAGCATGAATTGTTCCTTGTGTAAGATTGTTTCTAAACCTGATGATTGTAGCATAATATTTCCACTTAAGTCTTTCGAAATTTCTGAATAACATGACTTGTTCAGCGTTTAGTTGGCACTGAACCCCACAGTAGCTTTCTTCTTGCTATGTGGCTTTATGCACAAGTCAGTTTTAATAAATTAGCTCAGCTCAGCTGAAGGTAGCATCACTAAATATACAACTTTAAATAATATGCTGGGACATCTACAGACATTTGCTTGGAAAACAAATGCAGAGGATCTGTCACTGCTGTGCAGTTTTAAAGCTGTCCCTGTTATGTTGTTACTGTAGTTAAAACCATTGATCAAGCTTATTTTTGTGATTTTCAGGATGCTGGATACAGGGCATACCTAGAGAAGCATAAATAGTAACATTTCAAATGAAAACAAGTATTGCATTGTAATACACATATTTTAAGAATGTCCTAAATGACATAAAGCCAAGTATAATGTTTGGATTTAGCCTGCATGTAAGGACTGAGGAAATGGGTAAAGCATGATGCATGTTTCTGGTGTTTCTGGCATAGGCTACTGTATATACAGCAGAGTTTCTTAACCTTGGGATTCTGACCTTACCTTGATATGCTTATGGGGTCATGGGAAATTTCGAAAATTAAAAAAAATTGCACAAAATAAAATACTTATTGGGTGAGAACTGACGATTGTGACGTTGAAATGGAGTCACAGGCCCAAAAAGGTTGAGAAACCCTGATTTACAGAGAGGGAGAGATGGAAATGCAAAATTTAAAATCCTGTTAGCTTTACTCAGCCCTCGATATTTGCTCCACACTGACCCCTATGGGCCAGAGTTACATCTAGTCACACTCTGACGTAGGATGTGGGGTTGCAGTATTAATTTGGATTGTCTTGTTCTATCTTACCACGTCCATCTTACTCTCAAATTCTCTTCAGTTATTTTAGGTGGAGCTTTTCCTCCTTCTTAGCAGGCCTGACCTTCCTTTTTTTTTTTAATGCGAATCCTAGTGACCGAGAGAAAACCTTGTTTTTAGTCTTTGGTGTCTTTTTTGCTGTGCCTTCATTGAAATCTTTTGGCTCTGTACAGGCTGACGGCACTGCAACTGCAGTCGTCTGGGCTCAAATAAAGCCAAGAAATACACGTGAGCACAGAAATAATAGCAGGCAGCTCTCTTAAATGTACAGTATCTTAGAGCTTGTGTAGGTTGGATTATGTTTCTTTCACATTTCTGGAGGTGTAAAGCAGTTACTGGCTATTGGGGTCATAGCGGTATCTTCCAGTGATAACATACGATAGGAGCTTTACATGTTCAGTATGTAATTTTAACTGTTGTAAAGCTACACAACAGATGACTTCAATTAAGAAATGACCAAGAAACCCAGCAAACCAGCAATTTTAAAATAATGTTTTCGCACTCTTTCTGGTGCCTGCACTTTCTATTATATAGCCTAATACTACTTTTTTAGTAGCTTATGCTAAGTCTTTATATTTACCAGTTTTCCTGATCAAAATTAAAATGTTATTACTTTTCCACTTTCTCATGATCTCTTTCTCTCTAAGCCAAATTCAGTAGTGTACCCTATTGCTTCCACTATTTAGCAATTTACTATGTTGCAATCATGCATAAAGTCAGTGTATTTCTAGTCGGGGAACAGCAACTGTGAACCACTGGTTGGATTAAAGGCAGATATTAGCTGTGACAACTACATATATTATGCTTTAATGAAGATAGTTGTTATCCAAAGTATAGTACAATGTTGTAAATTTGATACGAGTCCGAGCTGGAAGTAACCTCTCACCTTATAACTGCTCACCACACTGTATCTATATACTCAGCTGGTGTATACATAGGATTGTATGCACAGAGGTGCCCAGGACAGGAAAAGTGTTTATATAGACAGACATGGTGTGATTAACTCCTGGATCGTACATTCTGTATAATATTGCTATGGACTTTTGTTTCCATTGGCTCTTATGAGTTTCATTAACATTTACTGCTCATGTTATTGTGTTGATTAAAATGAAAAGAAAGAGCACACCACACTCACAAACTATTAAGGGCTTTCAAGAAAATATACAACAATCAGAATGTTTTGCTGCTCTGCTGTTGCAAAAAAATGTTTTGAAACTAAAAATTTGTAATATTTTTCAACCACTGTGATTTGTATAAAATTTTAAAAAGAAAAGTAGAAAAATGTTTTTTTTTCTTTTTTGCCATTTCAGTATTTTGATGTTTGACATGGATTTTATTAAAACTGTTAATCTTTTGAACTTGTCTCACATATTTGTTATTGTGTGTTTTTCTGTGTAAGTCATAGACTTATGATATCTGAGTATGTTCTTTGTTGCACTTACTGTTACTCAACATCTAAAATAGGAAGAGGGATGCTGCTTCGGTCTTGTATTTAGAGTTTATAAAAACAAGAACAGTCATAGTTTCAGTAAATGTGTGTCAACATTTAAACAAAACTACCAGTTACCAATAGAAAAGTGTGAGTGCAGACAAAAACACAAGACTTACTGTAGAAATACTGAAGAAATGGGAAGTGGTTAATTGGAAAAAGTGCTGAGTACAAACCTGGGCAATACAAAAAGAGACTTTAAGTGATAATTAAGTGATGATTTAGCTGCCTATTGAAACTTCCCTTACCATCCAGATGCAAATTGTAATTTTATTTAATTGTTTTCTTGTTGATTTAATATATTCAAGCATCATTTTAGGTGATAAGATGCTTGAATCCTCCAGTTTCAAGGAGGATTATGTCATAATGCTCACCAGCAAAATATGATCTGATTGTATTAAGTGTGAGGTTTTGTGATGCATTGACAGTTACAGTGGAACAAATGAGTTTTAACTCACACTGCACTCACTTCACTGACTATAACATGCAATTAGATGGTCATCTAAGTTTATATCATTAAAGAGAAAATATCCACTGACCATTCAGCATGAAAATGAAATAACATTTGAAAAATATCCACATTTCATGTAATTGTTTTTCGGTCTTAATCTAATGACCTACTGATTGTCCACTAGGTGACCTACTGTAATATAAAAAAAAGGCTATAAAAAAAGTTCATTATAATATTGTTAATATATTTCCGCCTTTTGTCTTTCTCAACCCTTTCATTGCATGCAGGACTGTCACAAACTGTTAATTTGATACAGCTGTGCCACCTAGTGGAAGAAAACAACAACTGCATGACCTCATTGTGTGAAATATAGTCATGGTCAAATATAGTATAAGTCTTATGCCTCATATGCCCTGCTGCTTTTTCAGTTTAAATGAAAACTCTGTTTTGTGGCACCTCTTTCAGTGTCTTACACACAGACAAACAATCTGTGTTTGCCCTCTTACATACTGCACGTCTATTATATATGTCTTTTTATGCTGCTTTTAAAACTTTGGCTTTAAGATATTCTGAGTCAGCAACTCTCACCAAGTGGCTCCCTGAACATCGTCAAGATCACCATGCTCCGAGCTGAGACTTTTAATAGAGTTAGTCTGCTAAGGGATCACAGAAAGCCACAGAATCATGGGGGGAGAAGGACGAGTGTTGCCATGGCGATGTTTAGTGATGTGGCTGATGATGGGTAACTAGATGAGGGAAGGTGGTGGTTGCGGGTAGTGGGATATTTGTGTCCATATGCCTTCATTACGTGTGTGTGTGTTACAATCAGCAGTCAAGCTGCCTACTAACAAACTCTTAACAGCCAATGACGTACAGCAGTTTTCCTTTCATTTTCTAGTAAAGGGAAGGATTTACTAGCATGCGTTTGTAGCAGTGACCTCAGCGTCATCCATGGTCACGAGCATCGGGTTGAACGCTGATTACAGACCTTCATGCTGCGTCAGCTGTTTGATCCGTGGGCTGTGTTCAAATTTCCCACCGACCTTGCCCCTGCTCTCACACCGCAGCCTCGTAGACTTGAGTCGCTGACATGCGCTGACATCATCACATCTGGCTCTTGTTTTCCAGGGTTCCCCTCTGGAGCAGATAAGAGGATCTGAATTTGAGAGCAAAAGACTAAACACCGTCTTACAGTTGAGGATAGCACAATGTGAATGTGTTGGGGCTCTTCATGGACCGTGCAGATACTGTTTGTGAATCTTGCTGACGCTTGAGGCCTTGAAGAGTAGGACAGAGGAAGAAGCATTACATCTTGGCGAGGGTGTATGACTTGATCAAACCTGGGACTTTTTATTGCTCGCCGTGTAAGCTGATTGAAGGGAAGAAAGTATTTTCAGAACTTCAAAGCTTTTACACATAACACACTCACACACATAAGCACGCACATGCCATGGAGAATTTATAAATAACTGGGCCGACTAGCAAGACTGACTGTGCAAAGGAGGCCCATTGGTCGAGGAGTGACAGCACATTCATCTGTATATTTCACCCTCCTCCAAGCGTGTCTCATCTACATGTTGTTGGTCCAAACCTCCCCAAGGTCTGCTCCATAAACAAAACTGCGATCCTTCACACACACACACACACACACACACGCACGCACACACACACACACGCACACACACACACACACACACACACACACACACACACACACACACACACATGCATACGCCTCTAAATCAGGGCCTCTCAAAACAAAGTTTATGAATACTTTATCATCCTGACACCATGGTCTACTTTAAGGGCTATTTTGTATGGGAAAGCAGACGTTGGAGCTCCTTTTTTTTTAAAACTGAGATTTGTGGTCTCTTTTTATTTCTGCATTACCCTGCCATTTGTTTATGTTTGTCATAATTCACTGAAGCAAGGCGACCTCGAAACTATGAGGAAGCTAAAAGCCCAGGTTCATTCACCTCTAATGAGACAAAGTGCAGAGAAAAAGGATTGTCAGTTTGGAAAGTCCTGTTTTTCAGTGCTTTGTGTGTTTGTATTTACAAAAGTGAAAATGTGATTTAGCACATGCAGGCACACAGAGACTCACACACACACACACACGCACACACACACATGCACACACACACACACACACACACACACACACACACACACACACACACACACACACACACACACACACACTCATGTACATGCTGAGGCTCAAGGGAAAGATATCTCAAGAGTTGTTGTGAAGGCACATAGCTGAGCAGTGACCTCACCTGGAAGCTTGATGAGAGGACACCCAGATTCTTTCTCTCTCTCTCTCTCTCAAACACACACACACACACAGGCAAATGGCATGTTTGATGTTCATGTTCCTCCTCTTATCACGCCTGTCTGGCACCTAAATTGACCTCAATTGTCTTTCAAGGCTATGCCATGCTGTTGTTGGCCCCCAGCTTGTACTGGTACGTTTGTGAGTTCAGCTGTCAGGTTAATGTGTGTACACCACTGGTGTATCACTTGTGACTAACTTCCATGGAGTTGTATCATTGCCTCTAGTGAGCCTCTCCCACATCCACCTCATTATCCACCTCCAGGAAAGGAATAACATGCCTCCTCCACAAAGATACAGTTAACAATTATGATGACAGGAGGAGGTGAGATAGTGGGGTTTTCAGTCTGCTGAAGTAAAAAACATTCTCTCTTTGAAACAACAAGTAATATAGTAAACTGAAAATTGACTTAAGGGATTTGCTACAGTAACTTAGTTATGTTATTTGTGTCATGCCCAGTGCCCAGTGCCCAGCCCACATGGACTTACAGTTGCAGTTGTGAAACATTTGTCAGAGAAGAACATATCTTCTTACATCAAACATTACATTGCACACATGGAATTTTGTGTTCTGTCCCGAGCCATTAAATAGATTCCCTTCTTAAAACACTGCTCATTTTTCTTTAAGTCATTCACCCTTAAAAACAGGAATGAAGGGCAACTTAAGTGTAACCTTAAAATCATCATATGATGAGCAATAAAACTTGGGTTCAACTTCAAATCCAAGCAAATGGCACTTAAAAGGTTGGACACATTCAAGCAGCTCATACTGTAAAACAGTAGATTCACAAGACAGTTGGACAATGTCATAGGAAAGGCTATACTTATGACAACTTGAACAGAAAATTACAACCATTGCAACTGTTCATAGTCACGCAAATATGACAGCACATGTTCAAACATATAGGTACTGTAAGTAGGTCCTGGCCTCATAAAGGAGGATCAAGCTGTGACCCCTGAACCCAAACACATCCCTGACCTTTTAACACCACCCATCAGGTCTGAAAACATATAAAGAAAACAGGATTTTACAAATCTATGCCTACAAGGAAGTGGTTTTTTTAGTGACAGAATCTTATTTTGTCAATTTCAGAGGGAGATTATGCTTTCTCATGTTATGCAAGGCTACATATCAGTAAATGGTGGAGCAGTCACATGTACAAGGACTCCATGGATTATCAAAGAGAAGAGTTCATGAATGGATTCTGAATTGAAGAGTGCGCTGAGAGACTCTGAGAGGATGTCGCATGTGACCGGACCACTCAACACTCTGTCACCCACACTCTGGCAGAGTAGGCAAGGGCAGGAAGGCAGGAAGCTGAACAAAAAGCCTATGACAATTAGAGAAGGAGTTTCTGCAAATGAAGAGAAAATCCCCATTAGGACAAACACACACACACACACACACACACACACACACACACACACACACACACACACACACACACATGTCCAAATCCCCACTGGACGTACAATCATCCCCACATTTAGACCCCATCTCCAACAACAGCTGCCACCGCACCCCAGCAGAGGAAATGCCAAAGTCCTCTGAAGTGGAGCATAACAGCACCACATTTCACATCCACAGTGAAGGGTTGAGAGGCTGGAAGGGCAGGAGAGCCTCTAATAGCAGGAAGTTGTAAGAATAATAGCGGCATGGGGATGTCATGCCCCCTGTCCCTCTGGCATGCAAGCTTTGGCCCGAACAGCAGAGTCTGTGTGTACCGAATGCTTGCTTATACAACTAATGAAACATTTTTCACACAACCTACAGTGAGGGTTATCATCTTATGGGGAGAAATTAATACCTTTCCATACAAAATGTGATACAGTGATACTGGCAAAGTGTCATGGCAGACTTGTGTCAGTGGATTTACTACTTCTTGAAATTATGTCATTTAACACCAGAGATATCTTCTTTTTTCCCCAATGGCCTGCTCTCTTCTAATCGAAAAGTGTTAAATTAAATTGTTAAATTGCAACATAGACCAATTAATTATTTCACTGATTCTGGCATAACGGAGAAACAGATGACAGTGAAAACCGCCCAAACAAAAGGAATACGAACACGAATTTGGGAACTCTTGCCTTAAACGGGAAGGGTTATTTTCATGGGTGATTGTGTCGGGTAACTGTGGAAAGGCGATCTGAAATCAAGCTTCATGAGGTCAACTCCAGCCTGTGTCTGACACATCTGAAAATAAAAACCTGTGACTTTTATCCTCTACATCTGTCCTGGATTATCTAAGAATGGCTGCTAAGTAAATTACAGAGCTCAGGAACATTCCCATAATCCAAGATCTTAAACCCCCATGCCACTGACCCACAGTCAAATACCAACGCATGAGTGTGTGAGTGTCTGTGTGTGTGTGTGCGTGGGTGTGTGTGTGTGCGTGTTCGTGTGTGTGTGTGTGTGTGTGTGTGTGTGTGTAAGTGCTTGCATGTCTGGAGGGAGTTTGTCCAGAGTTCACAGTCTGTGCATGTGTGAGCCTGTATGTGCATCAATTCATGGCAGTGTGTGTGTGTGTGTGTGTGTGGTGTGTGTGTGTGTGTGTGTGTGTGTGTGTAAGTGCTTGCATGTCTGGAGGGAGTTTGTCCAGAGTTCACAGTCTGTGCATGTGTGAGCCTGTATGTGCATCAATTCATGGCAGTGTGTGTGTGTGTGTGTGGTGTGTGTGTGTGTGTGTGTGTGTGTGTGTAAGTGCTTGCATGTCTGGAGGGAGTTTGTCCAGAGTTCACAGTCTGTGCATGTGTGAGCCTGTATGTGCATCAATTCATGGCAGTGTGTGTGTGTGTGTGTGGTGTGTGTGTGTGTGTGTGTGTGTGTGTGTGTGTGTGTGTGCGCGTGATCGTGTGGTCAGTTTACTTTGTGTGTGTTAGTGTCACTGTTGGGCAACCACTGAACAGACCCCCAGCTGTTCTTAAACAGTGAAACAGCCTCCCCTGCTCCCCTTTTTTTTTAATGTTCAGCCTGTTTCAGACTCAGTTCCCATGAAATTGGCCCTTCTCTGGCTCGCTCGGAGATTGCCCGCACTGTAAATGGCTTCTCTGGAGTCTGCCAAGGGCCAGTGGGGGCCAATTCAAAGATAGAAAGAGACAAAGAGAGACTGGCAGATCCAAAGTATCCTGACTGCTCCTGTAGCCCCGCTCAACCACAGCAATAATTCCTAATCTGCATTTCTGCTCAAAGAAAAGTAACAATAACATATGGAACACATACATTTATTGGACTGATCCAGGTTGTTCACCCTAAGCCATCATTCATTTGTGAGCAGTATTGTGTAAATAACGGTGAAATAACTCCAGTGCTCTTCAACAAGTGTTGATCAAAGTGCAAGGCAATGTTGTCTCATAGAAGACGAGGTTTACGAAGTGAGTAACAGGATAACGAGGATGCATGAGACCTATACGTGCAGCTCACTGGTTGCATTGCACTTTTCTTCCAAGTGACCCAGCTAGTGAAGTCATTATGCTTTCCACTCTCTCAACAGGAGGTGGGGCTTTTTAGTGAAAACTTATTCTACCCCGCTGCACAAAGACCAGTGTGCAGTCGCAGTCTCCTCCACGCTGTGAGTACGCAGCGCCTGCACAGATCGCTCCGATTTGGAACTAAAGACCACATTGCATGAACCCCTGCATACCTTTACTGCAGTTTTCTCGGCCGTGAAAGACCCTCACTTTTCCGCTGTGGCTGTTTTCCAGCAGATACCCAGATCCCGAAAACTGGAAGCCCCGAAAGCTGGACCTGTGTAGAGAGAAGCTGCGGGAGTGGTCTGGAAACTTTTTGCCATCATGAGCACGCGAACGGTCAACCTTGATACCTACAGCCTGTCGCTGCTCACGGCCAAAGAAGACATCCTCAACCCCCGCTCCTCCACCAACTGGTAACGCATAGTGCTCTTGAAGAAAAATTGCATCTGCCTGCCATAGCACAACCTGATTTGTCTGAACATTAACATGAACGTTTAATTGTCAACTTTATAATAATTCTACATCATTATAATGAGGAAATTACGAAGTTGAATCAGTAACTTTAACGTTCATATTCTCCATCTTGTTTTTTTTCTGAATGAGCCTTGGCCGCGTTTACGCACAACCAAAGTGGCTGTTGCGTAAACAGAGGCTTGATTTTAGTTAATCCAATAAGAGATACAGAGATGACCAGCAAAGGGATAGCACGCAACCTGGATTATGTTTACATGTCCAGCAATGACAAATGCATGCAGACTGGTTTAGTTGCACAGGGATGTATTGAGTCTACCCTCCTCCGGGAGAGCTGATGTTAGGTGTGGATTGCCGTCCATTACACACGCTAGGCGGCTGGTGTGGCTCAGAGCGCAGCACCTGGCCGGCGGCCCGCTTTCCTCACCCAGGCCTTACGCTCCATGACTTTGCTATTCTTCCCTATGAGCTGCGAGGCTTCATTCTTTGTGCTGAGGATCATGTTTCTGCTCGTGCTGATCTCTGACAGGGGTTGTCTTTCATGGAGAGGAGCTTTAATTTGACAGACAGCATAATATGCATGCAGGAGTACAATCCAGTAACCAATAATGACCAGTATTACCAGTAGTAACCAATAAACTACTGTTGAGCAATGAATGTCTCCAATGAATAAATGTATTTTAATTTAGGAACAAGATATTAAAAACCAACTGTGCAGAGTGGAGCTGAAACATGAATCCAGAACCAGACAATCAAGTGTTTTACGGCAGAACTTGCTCAATGTTTTGAATTTCCGACTTAGATTTCAACTCTAGATGATTCTTTAACTCATGGAAAGTTGGACTGATTTACTCCATTTATTCCTGAGCACCTGACACTTGTCTCATTCTGTCCTTTTGTCACAGGGTTTGGCTGGTCTGTCACTATGGTGCCCAATCCTTCTTTTCCAAACAGTACCACTTGCCAACTCTGTCTGCCTGTCTCATCCTCTTTCTCCTTCTCTTATACTGTGTGTGTGTGTGGTATTGTCATCTTAAGCTACAGACGTGTTCTCACTGGGAGAATTAGACATACTATGACCCCTCTCTTTCCACGTATCCACTCACAAGTTATAGTTTTGGGGAAGTAGGCCAAGGCTCAAGCCCACATGTGTGGTCATGTGGAAGTGAAGGACTGATTCTGTCTGTCTCTGTTTCATCTTCCTCTGCCCCACATCTCTCTCTACCACATGGTTTCCCTGCCCACTTTCTTCCCACTTTCTTCCTGGCTTTTCATGACGCCATGCAGACTTGAGGAAATGAGTTTTAGGAACACTATGTGTTAACTTTGACAAGCTGAAATCTGACATCTTCATGAATGGGGTGGGAAAGAAGTTTCCCCATTCCAGGCAGAACATGCTCAGTTTCCATTCTTTCTTGCATTTGGAAAAATATCTAAAAGTTTCCATGTTCAGTATCATTGAGGAGGTTTTGTCTCATGGCAACACCTCCATATTGACACTTCACTGATCCAGCAGTTCCTCATTCGAGAGCATTTCCCTACGTTTCAGTGAACAATTGACCTGGATTGTGTCTCTGTCAACCCACTGCCTGTCAGGCAATCACAGAAACTCTCTCTCACACACATACACACGTACAGATGCATCTATCCATGCACATGTTAAGTTGTGTGAACAAGAGAATAAAAAGAGAAAAAGAAAGGAGAGAGAGAGAGAGAGAAAGAGAGAGAGAAATCCCCCAGCATTCATTGAGCCCACTTTTGAAGGCTAAATAACTCTGCAGGAACTGAATAGAGAGGTGGGAGGGGGACACGATGATGTCATGATTCCCAATGTCAAACCAGTGAGAAAGACACCCATCGTGTGTGTGTTCGTGTGTGTCTGGTTGTGGGTTGAAGGGATTTTATATGCGAGTTTGCATGTGAATATATTTGTTTCTGGACGTGAATATGCGGAGACTATTAAAGTGAGTCGAGGGCGTTGAGAAGTTTGCGTGGAGAGGGGTAGGAAGCTTGTTTTGTTGAACGATCCCGCCCCCACTGTGTGGCCTTGAGGTCCCTGTGTGTATTATCTAATGACCTTGTGTCCTGAATGGGAAACAGACCCTTTGTGGGTGAGACTCTGAAGAAAAGAGGAGCAATTTCAATGCATCCCTCATTCAGACCTCTCTGCTCAACATACAGCCTTGGAGGTCTCTCCTCAGTCTCCCAGACCACTGAGGACTACAAAGTGTCTCGCTCGTAGGCTGGAAACCTGCTCTGTCTGCATGTGTTTTCTGTTTGTGTGTGCTTTGAGAGACAGAAAGAAAGAGAAACAGTGAAAAAGCATGTTCCCAAGGACACTGTCCAATCCTCAGAGCAGGAAATACTTCTAATTCCTAGCAGGAGAAATCAAGATTTATGTCCAGTTTACAGCAGAATAAATGAGTCAAATAGGCACTTTAGGTAGGGTCATTGCTGCTAATGGGGCCATGTACAAATGGAAATATTTACAAGCAACTATGCTGAAATCTTTCATATGAGCCTTTGATTTTTATTTTTACAAGCTGAAGTTGTAGCACAAACGTAAAAAAAAACAAAAAAACTTTGTTTTTAACAATTCAATAAACTCCCTCCGTCAATGGTTTGTTCTGCACATTTTACACATTTGCAGCTCAGCCAGCGAGACAGTGTAAATAAGAACAATTTTCCAAACCAGCATGTATTACCAGAGGTATTTTCCTGCCAGATATCAAATAGACTCCAGCACCAGCCTAGCCAAGCATGCAAAAGAGGGGGTAAAAATCAGTTTAGAAAATGTTTACAGCATTGTTTCAGCCTTGCAAAGTATATCAGATGGGAATTCCTACTAAGCTGTGAAGCAGTGTGACCTCTTTTCATCAGAATTGGGTGTGTGCTGTATCCAGACATCTGTGGACCCTGGTGACTCTGAACACACCTTCTTCATAGACATCTTTCTTGAAGTCCACACTTGGATACTGTGTGCTGTGCTTGTGTTAAGTGTTTCACCATGCTCTCTTATTACAGTGAAGCAGTGACGCATTAAGTAAATATCTGATTTCTTTGTAGTAACAGAGTGATTCAGTTTTGATGAAGTACTCAGAGACCAGTCAGTCTTGTCTTCATTCATTCTAGGCTGTACGTGTGAAACATGTACTGTAGCCATATTTCCGTAGATAAAACAAGCTGCTTAGAAAGTGACTTTACAGATTATATTGTGAAGATGGTATGTGCTGTAATATTAGTGATTGCTGACACAGACATACAAAATTCATGAAACCTGTTTGTGTATTTTTTTTAACCAGTCCATATATTACTTTACCAGGTAAAGACTCATTTATTTGAAAGTAAAAGAATTTCCCAAGGAGTGAAGAGGAACTTACTGTTGAAGGATAAGTTAAAGCCTTTACTCGTGACCAGTCTTTTGGCAGAAGTGTAGCTGCAAAGTGATCTGACACCAAATGGTATTGCAGGTCATGGAATTACAAATATTAAGTTTCAGTTTTAGTAGCGTCTTGAAATAGAAACCTTTGAGAACACTTATTTTTTAAGGCCTCCAATTTATTTGAGTAATACGTTTTAAATGGGGCTCAAGATGAAGTTCTTTTTGTTAGAAAATATTCCTCCAGTATTGTAATACAACACATCATTTAACCAACTGTATTCATTTATTATCTGGATATAGATGGCAACAACCAGGGCCGGAGGCATTATGTTTTTGGGTTGTATGTCCATCCACCCGTCAGTACGCATGTACGTGCATTTTTTCATCTTTCCTTTCTCGTAAACATGATATCTGAGTAGAGGGAATTTCATTACATCGGGCACAAACATTCACTTGGACTCAAGGATGAACTGATTAGAGTTTGGTGGTAAAAAGTCGAAGGTCAAGGTCACGTGACTGTCACAAAACATGTTTTCCACAAATGAATACGCTAATTATGACACAAATTAACACAAATGTCTAATTGGATAAAATAATGAAGCTTCAGTGTGACATCATAATGTTCTCAATAACACTCCTGGCCATTATTTAATGCTGTAACTCAAGAAGGGGGGATTGTGACCATATTTCCTGCAACTTGGCTGGTTGGTGGAGACAAACAACTGCAAGACGGTAATTCTAGTATCTTTTTATTTTTACCCTTGTTTGTCTTTTCTTTCATTTTGACAGTCTGTTGAAAACTTAAGTAATCAATCTTACTGATTTTCATTTAAGGAGCAACACACTATCCTCTCTGATCTCTTGTGAAGGGACTCTCCTGCTGATGATAAATGGAAGAGCCTTTACTTCATCATTGGCCCGGGGTGTCTGTGTTGCTGCTACTTGCCAACATTTCCACAGGCTCATGCATGATTAACCAAGGCCTGAAGAGTTCCTGGGTCTAAAGTTACGTGCTAGATGGAATACACCTGTGGGTGTGGGGAGAGGATTGGAGGGAAGAAGGTAAAATGCAGGGCTACCAGTGTGTGTGGATGCACATCCTTGAGTGCTAGTGCTTGTGTATACTGTAGGTGTACAGTATTTGTTTGCTCTCCAAAGGGAGATTATCTGTGCAAATGCAGCAGGTCAGTTATCTTGGTTGTAAAGATAAACAAACATTATCATCACGCTGTTATCAAGAAGTTACCCACTGCCTGAACTTCCTTGCACGGGTTCTGCTTTTTGTTCAGTTCCTTAATTATTCACAAAGACCCACCTGTCAAAAAGAGAAAGATTATTAGAAAATAAATATTAATGCTGGGTGCTGACACACGAGCTGTTCCGTAATCCTCATCTATCTTGGCTATCTATCATAGCTTTCTACGATGAAACAAAACCTACTGATCACCTGACTCTGGAATCCCATAGAAGGAAACAAGCAGTCTGGTTGGTTTCCTCTGGCTGTTCAGGAAAAGGCTTCAAAGGCCACACACAGCGTTGTTGTCAGGCTGAATGATAACA